TCGTCCTGCTGTCCGGCCTTCCCCAGGCCGCCGGGCCCCCCGCGGTGCTGCGCACCTTGACCCCGCGGCTCGCGGTCAGCGGTCAGCCCGCCCCCGGGTCGCAGCGTCTTCTGGGCGGGGGCGCGCTCCTCTGATGGCCCAGCACCTACAGCCCTGGCACATGGGGCCGGGAGGGACCCCCGAGCACGTCTGACCCCACCCCGGGACAGACAGATGGGCAGGTGTAAAGAGGCTGCGAGGCCCCCTCACTAGGGGCCACGGAGTGACCGGGTCACGGCCCTCACCCACTCCCCGCTGCTCCAAGGCCCTGGGCTCCTAGCCCGGCAGCGCGGCACCTGACTCCTTTGGGAAGTGTTCACACGCATGAGGCGTCTGAGCGGTTTTGGCATTTTCTCTGCCCCATGTCATTGGCCTGATTCAGGTCAGCCAGGCTGTCACTGGTCTGTATGCGGGTGAGGTCCTGGGCGCCAGCACCCAGTTCTATGGGCCACCGGGGCAGGGGTGCCACCAGGGCAGAACATCCCAGGGAGGTACCCAGTCTGGGGAGTCTGGGGCACTGCAGGGGTGGGAAGAGGGCTGGCTGCACACTGAGCATCCGGAATGTTCCAGCATTCCCCGGGAGGGTGGACGGTGGAGCTACCCTCCACAAAGCCTCCTCTCGGTTCTGTTATGTGCGGGGTGCTTCCACCCCCATGGTGGGCCACCACAAATCCTCACCCTCATTCTCGAGCCTCTTTTCCAGTCTGCTGTCCAGGTATTCACTTTCCCTAAGGAGCCTGGTTCTGGTGGGTGCTGGCTCTTCTCCACCCTCCTCCTCCCAGGCTCCCTCCCCAGCCCGGCCTGCTGCCCCTCCCTGCCGCCCCAGGCGGGAGCTCACACTGGGCAGCCCCGCACCTGGCCCTGGAGAGCCCTCCGACTAGAATCCTCTCCTGGTTCCATTCCTGCCCTCCCAGCCCCCTCCCTGCCTGGGAACCAGCTCCGGCTCCTGCCCCTCCCTCCTGCCCCTGCCCTCCGGGTGAGCTGAGAACATTCTCCTTTGCCCTTGGTCCTTGGGCCATATCCCCATCCCTCCCCTCCTGGACATCCGTTTCCACTGAAGCAGCCACTCAGACACCACTGGCACTTTCTCCAACAGCTGCTTCTCTGTCTTCTGTCCCTGTTAATACCACCCCTGACTGTCAATTCACAGGCGGTTCTTGAGGCCCCTCCATGCGGGGCCCAGGACTCAGGCCCGCACAGGGCCCTGTATCGTGGGGCTCAGGCGTGGGGGCGTGGTTTCCACACCCCCTCACACACTTACCCCAGCTCTTCCACCCTGGGCTTCTGGGATCTGTCCTCCGCTGCTGCAGCCCTGCAGGGCTGGGGTGGAGAGGGGAGCCGGCTGCCTCTGTTTGGGCCCGCAGACGCTGTCTGGGGCCCTGTCCCACCCCTTCTGCTGCCCCTCTGGGCTTAGCACTTGGCCAGCTGTGATTCCTGTGATTCTGCTGAGCTCAACACATAGCTCTCAGGGGTCTAGGCTGCAGGGACAGGGTGGAGTCTGACCCTGATTCCCCCTGCCCTGCGTTGAGCCCCCTCCCCATCCCCGCCCTGGGCCCATGGGCTCCCCAAGCAGCTGCGTGGCTCGCTCTCACAGGGACCGCGTTTTCCAAAGAGGCTGCAAACGTCCACATCTGGAGGGTGAACCGGAGGCTTTGACTCTAGAAAGATGGAGTGTGGTGGGGAGCAACTTCCAGTCAGGAAGAGCCTTCTGAGATCCCTAGGGCAGCTCCCCAGGCGGGGGAAGGATTGAGAGGGGACTATGGGAGAACCAGGCCTGAGGCTCAGAGGTCGGGGGGCGGGAGGCTGTGACCTGCGGACCTCTGCCCTCCCTGGGCCTGGCTGGGGGCCTGGGGGACTCCGACGCTCCATGCCTGGCCTGCCCCAGAGTTCCAGTTGGGACGGGGTGTCAATGATTAACGTGCCCGGCACTGCGGGCGTGGGCTCTGGCCTAGTGACAGTGGTGAGGGGCAGTGAGGAGAGCGGCCACAGCACAGCTGTTTGGATTGTCACTGTTGGGAGCAGTTCCGCACCAGCTGGTAAACACTGGCCTGCGGGGCAGTCAGTGCTGCACGTGTGAGCCCTGCCAAAGGTCAGGGTGGCGGAGAGAGGGTTGGGGGAGGAGGCTCAGGGGAGGCTCTGGCAGCTAGGGACACCCCTCGGCCCATCCCCTCTGAGTTCAGCGAAGCTATCTCTGGTCGAGGGGCAGCGTGAATCCAGACAGCCGACAAGCCGGCCCCTGGCGGGCACAGCAAGGTGGGCAGGGCTCCGGGGCCTGGCTGCTAAAGGTCTAGACACCCGTCCTGAATATGTTGCCACACACGCAAGTTCAACATTTCATAGCCAAACCATAGTGGTTCGAGGGGCACCAGCTGTCCTGGGGACAAACCAGCCCTTACCGGTGAGTGCGTCTGTGTGGCCCAGGGATGAGGTGAGTGAGTCTGTGTGGCTCAGGGACGAGGCTCAGTCCGGGCAGTTTCTGATTTTGTAAGGCCTGAAGCTTGGGGGCCCTTGTTAGTAAAATTAACACAATTTACAGACTCAGAGTCAGATGCGTGTTCCTGGGACATAGAGGTTGCAGGCAGAAGGCCTCGGCTGGACTCTGGAGGGTTACACACAGTCCAGGGAGGGAGCAAGGGCAACTAGGGAACGTATGGGAAGAGCACCAGGGCCTGGACCTCAAGGAGGGCTTCCTGGAGGTGGTGCCCTGAGCTGAGGTGAAGAATCTCTAGGGTGAGAAGCAGAGGACTTCCAGGCAGAGCCAACGGTATGTCCGTGGGTGGAGCGAGTGTGTGCACTCTGGGAAGTGGGGGAAGAAAAGTGGGCACTTGTGGCCGAGTTGTGGCAGGGCCAGGGCCCCCTGAGCCTCGGTAGGCGGTTGGGGCCGACCCGGAGATGGGGGTGTTACAGAGCCGCTGGGGCTGTCTGGGTGAGAGCAGCAGTTGACCTGGGCTCCAAGGGAGGAAGACATACCATCCGGACAGCAGCCGGCTGCCCGCTCTGGCCGGAGCTCTGGGGCAGCCGCATGCCCGTCCGCCCGTGCCTGGCTTCCCTGAGGGCAGAGCCCGCCCGGCCCAGCACCCCTGTCCTGGCCTGGCTCCCACCCCTGCTCTGGGCCTGGTCCCCACGCGGAGGCCGGAGCTGGCGTCTACGGAGGCTGACGGCACCCTCCACCCCCCCCCCCGGGACTCTGCCTGCAGTGCTCGTCCCTGGGAGGGGCCTGGCCGCTGTGCTGAGGACGCTGCCTATGTTCCATGACGAGGAGCACGCCCGGGCCCGGGGTCTCCCTGAGGACACCCTGGTGCTGCCGTGAGTAGGGGCTCCCCTGGGGCCCCGGGTGGAGTTGACAGCCAGCGGTTGTCGGGGGAGGGCCATCCCCAGACTGGGTGGCACCTGCCAGGTCCGTGGAACAGGCTGCGGTTTCTCAGTGCGTCCATGCGAGCCATTTGCAGGAGGCTGTCCCGGCATCCTCACATTTTCATGGCTTTAGAGCTGCCCCCTTTCAAAGAAGCCTCAGACTCCTACCACCTTGCGGGGCTGCAGGCCTCCGCCCTGGCCATGCAGGGACCTAAGCCCATGCAGAGAGGCAGGGGTGGCCCCAGGCTCCCCAGCCCCCATGTGAAGGTCCTTCTGTTTCCCAGTTCCTGGCCCAGGCTGCTAGCAGGCTGGTCACCAACCTCCCTCCTGCCCACAGTCGTCCTCCCAGGGCCATCCTGGCTCCCTGCCATGGCCCAGCCCCCTTCTTGGCTGGTTGTGGGAGGGGACCCTGCCCTGGAGCAGTCCGTCCTGGCCTGTCCTTGGCTCCTCCTGGGGACCACGGGCCTTGTTCCTGGGGACTCGGGTGGAGGGGAGGTTGGGATGCCTGGTGGGTGTGCAGAGGCCTTGCACACATCCCAGGGTGCAGGTGCGGGGTCCGGGCTGGGCAGAGCTGCCAGAGGAGGAGGCCACAGACTGGGGGCCTGCCGTTCTGCCTCCCGCAGACCTGCCAGCCCCGGCCAGAGGGTCGTCTACACAGTGCTGGAGTGCCAGCCCCTCTTCGACTCCAGTGACATGACCATCGCTGAGTGGGTTCAGATTGCCCAGACCATCGAGGTAGCTGGGGGGTGTGGGCGCAGCATGGGGGTGGCTAGGAGGTGGGCGGGTCTCACCTCAGCAGCAAGGCTCCCGAGGCCCTTTCTCCCGTGCCAGTGGAGTGGAGGCAGGGCAGCGAGGGCCATGTCCCCTTTTCCGGCGAGGGAAGGGCCCGGACGACTGTCTTGATGTGTTTAAACAGTTAGTTTGTCCCAGTGAGTATCCCAGGCTGAGTGTGCAGTGCGTCCCTGCAGACGGACGAGCTCTGTGCCTGGCCCACCCCTGCTCTGTCCACCCCACGCCCACCCTAAAGCTGCAGCCTTGGTAGATTTGGGGCACAGAAGCCCGGGAAGGTCTCGTGGTTTACAATGTGGCTGCCTTACCTGAGGCCAAAGCCACCCCCTTACCATCAGCTTTTCTCTCTCATCCCCGCTGCACCCCAACCTGCACGAGCCTGGCCCTGTGCTCGAGTTACCTCGACTGCCTCCCAGAGGTGGGGGCTCTCCCACCCCCTCCAGGCCCACTTCCCACCTTCCTCCCTTAAGAAACCCTGTGCCCCAGAGGCTGGTCACACAAGCCTCCCTTCCTGGCAGCTGGGGGCTGGCCCCAGTCACACGCTTGTCTCCTTCTGCCTGGGGGAGAACAGCTTCCTGGGCATCATCCCCTCTCACTGTGATCACCCAGGACAACCTGTGGCCTGGGGCCTGGCCCTTATGTCTCAGAGTGGGGCCACTGGGTGCCAGTGGGCATGTCCAGCCATCCTCTGGGGCAGTCTCCCTGGCTTGTGGCCAGCAGCATCCCCTGGGTGGGGCCTGATCCCAAAGGGTCCTGGGGGCAGGGTCCCGCCACCTGCAGACTCACAAAGGGTCCCTGCAGCCTGGGCGGCCCTGACTGCTCCTGTGCCATGTGTGGCCAGCAGAGGGCGCCCCAGCCCGCCGCTTGGCTCCGCTACCCTGCAGTTCCAGCCTGCCTGGCTTGGCCTTTCAATGGACCATAAGAATTGGTCTCCTCAGGTCCCCTTGGCTCCCAGAACTGTGCCCCCGAAATGACGGCCCAAGCCAGCTGCCCTCTAGGAGGCGGTGGCCGGAGGATGCCTATGCAGAGCTGGCTGGGAGGCCTTCTGGCCGTGCTTGGAGGGACCCTTCCTTGTGTTTGCCTGCCAGCATCCTGGCCGCCTCCCAGCGCTGGCTGCACCTCGTGCCGGTGCTGTTTCCACGCCTGGCCCTCCCACTGGACCGAGAGAGAGGCTGGTGGGCTTGCTCTCCCCGCAGCCCCTGCTGTTCTGGAGGCAGCAGTCACTCTGCAAGGGGCCCTCCTGGAGCACGGAGCTGAGTCCCAGCACAGTCCTCCAGCTGACCAGTGTGCTCGGGAGCCCAGAGTGGGCATCCTGGGGGAGACCTTCCCATCCTCGGGTTAAGACCATCCAGAGACCCCGACCTGAGTTCTTCCGTAGGTGAGGGGTGTCGTGGGGAGACCTCAGGCTCACACGAGGGGTCAGAGAGAGCATGGGGACGGGGACCCCAGGCAGGGGCTCCGTTTCCAGAGGCCCTTACCGGCCACCAGTGACCAGGGGCCCTCTGGCACCTCCTCGAGTCCCTCCAGCTGGGTGTGGGGCCCTTCCTTCCTCTTCTTGGTGGTGGAGGGGACCAGTGTCTGCCCAGGAGGAGGCCAGCAGTGGGGCAGGCTGGACCTGCCTGAGCCTGCCATCTCCTGCAGAGACACTATGCGCAGTACGACGGCTTTGTGGTCATCCACGGCACCGACACCATGGCCTTCGCCGCCTCTGTGCTCTCCTTCGTGCTGGAAAACCTGCAGAAAACCATTATCCTCACTGGTGCCCAGGTAACGTCCCAGGCCCATGTGGGCAGGGCCTCCTGGCGCCGTAGGGCCGGTCAGCACAGCTGCTGGTGCAGGCAGGACCCTGGGCTCTTCCTTAGTCCTGCGGCTCCACGAGGTGGTTCCTGCTTCGCCTGAGCTGGCCGGTGCTGGCAGCGCCTTGGTCCTGCCTGGTGCCAGCCCCGCCACCCTGGGCGCTGGCCCGCAGGCTGCTGTCGGCCTTGTGCAGGGCCTGGCCTTTGACCCTCTCTTCATCTTTCCACTGTGGTTCCCACCGACCTGGGCACATGCCACCCCGTCCCCTCTCACCCTGACCCAGCACAATCCCCAAAGCCAGCAGGTGGAATGTTCTAGAAAACTGCTGGATTTGGGGTGAGGTGGCAGGGGAAGTCTGGACCCCCGTCAGGGCCTGTATCAGAGGCTGCCTTGGAGTCCCCATTGCCTGCAGCTGCAGACATGCAAACCCCACACCACTGGGCCAGCCCCACCTGGGCCCCTGGAAAGCCTTCCCCAGTGCCCAGAGGCTGAGGCCTTTGCATGAGAAGCCAGTGCCCGTGTCCCTTTGAAAAGTTCTGGTAGAGGCTCTGGGAAGTTCTGTTGGGTGCCGACCCAGCAGCCTGCCCTGCTCTGTGCCTGGTCCCCCAGTGGGTGTCACAGCGGGGCTGTCCCCACTCAGGGAAGGCCCGGGGCTCACCACACACACCCAGTTGCTCGGAGCTCGGGTGGAGGGCTCAAGCCAGGCTGACCCTGGCTCTTCCTAGACCCTCCCGAGCCCCTGGGCGCAGGTCACCTTTCTGGCCTCTATCAAGGGACGAAGGGCAGGTCTGGGAGCACGGCCGGCCTCAGGAAGGGTCGTGGTCATGTTTTTCGAACCCTCGCCCTGGCCTGACGGAGCAGCCTCACCCCGGTTACACCCTGGGGGATGCTGAGGCATGGCCTCCTCTCTGGGGCCTTGTGCTGACCGTTGTCTGCTGATCTGCCAGCCCCTCCGCACACCCCACGGCAGTCCAGCCAGTTTCCACCATCCTGGGCAGGGTGGTGGGGAGCTGGGTACTGGTCATTCACCCTGGACATCGGCCCCCATGGTGGACATGGGGGTAGGTCTGTGACTGCTGCTTGGATGCCCTGGATGGGACTTCTGACTGTCACACCCACCCGCCGTCACTCCTTGGCCGCCCTCTGCCTGGCCGTGCCCACGGGTGGGCCTCAGTGCCCTTGGGGCTGGGGAGGTGGGCTGGGCAGCAGTGAGGCCCAATGTGTGCTCCCCCCAGTGAGGGGCATGGCCTCCAGCACTAGGCACTGGGGCCCGCACAGGGAGCAGAGGGGCTGGGCTGGGCCAGGCTGGTCTGGCCAGCAGGAGCTGCCCCCTGAGCGGAGGTCCCTGGAGACCCCCGTCTCCCAGGCCGCCCACGAGCCTGGGCCTGCCCCGCCCCCCTCCTGGACCCCTGCCTGGGCTCCACCGCTGGGTCCCTCCCTGCTGCCTGAGCCTCAGCCCCTCTCCGTGGCCTCTCCCCAGGTGCCCATCCACGCCCTTTGGAACGATGGCCGTGAGAACCTTCTGGGTGCTCTGCTCCTGGCCGGCCAGTACGTGATCCCCGAGGTACCACCCTCCTCCCCTCTGGCCGAGTGGGTGGGCCTGGCCTGTGTCCTGGGTCCAGCGGTGGGTAGGGGCGCCTGCATGCTCCCAAGAACCTGGGGGGGGGCCCGAGGGTGTGGTGCTCAGGTAGGGCCTGCAGGTGAGGGGTCTGGCAGGGTTTAAAGACTCGTCTTTCACCTTGAGAGTGAGAGACACCATCGCCGGAGAAAACAGGGGAGTGGCGAGGACGCCACTGCCTCTCCCGCCCCAGAGAGCGCGCTGCTGCCAGTGGGGCGCTCCTTCCGGACCACGCGTGCGCGTGATGCATGCGCACTTACTTAAGTAAGGTTGCAGACGTGATGTGGCACGTGTTTATTTATGTCGTGTACACGTGTGTGTAAGTTTCCATAAACAGGCTGCGCGGAGCATCGTCTGGGGTGGGCTTTTTCCCTTTTCACCGTCTTTCCGTCACGTGGTGGCCCAGGAAGCCGTTTAGAAGGTCCCCCTCCCGTCGCAGGGGACAGGGAGAGGAGCCGCCCTGGGGACGGGGCTTCGCTGGAGTGCAGCTCAGGTCCTGTCTCCCTGCCGTGGGCCAGGAGCTGCTCCTCCCCAGGGGAGCAGCTCAGAGACGGGCCGCAGGGTAGTGAGGGCTCCAGCTGCGGGCGCTGCCTGGTCCATAAGGAGGAAGCCGCAGGGGGCAGGGGCTCCCCAGCGCTGAGCCACCCTCCCCTCCCACAGGTCTGCCTGTTCTTCCAGAATCAGCTGTTTCGGGGCAACCGAGTGACCAAGGTGGACACGCGCAGGTTCGCAGCCTTCTGCTCCCCCAACCTGCCCCCTCTGGCCATCGTGGGTGCTGACGTCACGAGTGAGTGAGCAGGGCCAGCCGACGAGGGTGCCTGCCCCGGGTCATGTAGGTGTTCAGGGGCTGTGGGTGCTGCGCTGGGATGGGCACTGCCCTGGGCTGTGGAGAAGCCAGAGTGGGGCCGCTGCTCAGAAAGGGTGGGCTGCATGGGCCTCAGAGGTGGGAGGCTCAGCTCAGAGCCAGGGGATCGTGCTCGGTGAGGAGCACGTTTGGGGGATCAGCCTCTCTCTCTCGAGTGTCCCCTCCCAGGCCATGTGGCCCCGGGCCCACTAGCCCCTCTCAGTGACCATCCATGGCTCTGCCACTCACCTTGGTCTCCCTGGGATGTGGTTCCTGTGGTGCAGCCTTGTCCCTGGGAATTCCCGGGGGAAGTCTCTGTCCCCCGGGCCTGGCAGGTAGCCCAGCCCCCATCGTGGGGCTGACCGAGGTCTCCAGTGGGTGGTGGGTACCCCTGGAGAGACCCTTCCACCCTGCACTGGCCCATGCACAGGACCTGCCTCCGGCCTCGTCTGACTCAGTCTGCCCTCGTGGCCATGGGGAGTCACTCCACCCAGGATATCTGCTCTCCTGTGTGTCTCCGGCCCCACGGTGGGCACAGTCAGCCCCTGTGACCCCCACTTGGCACCTGGCCCCCCTCCCCAGGGCAGGCAGGAGGCTCTTTCTGTGATGGACATGTTCGCTGCAGTGGCCCTGCTGTCTCAGCGCCACCCCCACACCTGCCCTGTGTCTCCTCCTGACAGAGCCGGGGGTCCTGGGGCTGGTGTTGCTGGGCCTGGGCATCTGTCCCCTCCCCTCCAGCTGTGAGACCCTGTCCCAGGGACCCTTCTGGGGGGGCTCCAGGTCCTGGCAGAGCCCGTCAGGGCCCGTGGGAGCCCAAGGTGTAGTTCTGGGGGCCAGCACGAGAACAGCCCTTTGGGGTCTTCAGGTGCAGCAGGAGACCAGGGGACACAGCGGGACCTGGGGGGGGGTGGGCTGTGGGCCGCCAGGGCCTTGACCTTTTAGAAGCGCGGCTTCCTGGGATGTCCTCATGGAGGCAGGGACTCTCAGGTTCTCCAGGACCAGGGTGGGAAGGGACTACAGGGCGGGACCTTTCTGGAAGGCGTCAGTGAGGACGGGGAGCGCTGAGGGGCTCTGGCGGGAGGGCCAGAGCTGTCCGTGCAGCCGGCCCTTTCCAGGGTCAGGTGGGGTGGTCATGTAACTTGAAAGCCTCTCGTGCCTTCGGGTCCCAGTAGGACACACGGATGTGGGAATGGTGGCAGGTGGGACCTTCTGCCAGGTGGTAGTGCGGCCATAGCTGGCCAGGGCAGGAGGAGACCACAGGGTGGGAAACTGAGGCATAGAGTGGAAGGACCACGCAGGGCGGTGTTGCGGTCCTGAGCCCTGCCGTCATCCTGGGGGTCTTGCCCTGCACTGACCGCCCCTACTCACACACCCTGCTTGCCCAGTACTCCCGGGGGGGGTGGTTGTAAGGCCTTGAACACATCAATGCATCTAAAGCATGTGTGGCACGCCCAGAGGCCTAGGGTTCTGGGGACCAGGCAGGGGTCCACTTGTTTTATGAAGGCCAGAGCAGTCAGGAGGGCTTCCCAGCAGAGGTGGCACGTGTGCTGGTGCTGGCAGAGGGTGTCAGCTTCCTTCCCGGGGGCCAGCCAGCCGAGGAAGGAGACACTGCTCTGCAGGCCCGCCTCCCCTGTGGGGACTGAGACACGCCTTATCTGGGGCTCAGAGTGGAGCTTCCAGGGACGCAGCCTGCTGGCAGGTGCGGAGGAGTTCCCCCTGGATCCCCAGGCCTCTGCCGGTGCCATGCCCAGGCAGGCCTCGAGGCCCAGAGCATGCCTGTGCAGGCCGGCCCGGCAGCCGGGTGGGTGAGGGGCTGAGGCTGGCCCCCAGGGGAGAGGCCACCCTGGGACCCCTGGCCCACGGCCCCCCAGGGCTGTTCCCCCTGGCCAGGGTGCCCGAGCGGTGTGTGGGAACCTTCAGCCCCGCCCTCCCCAGCTCTGCTGTCAGGCGCCAGGCCAGTTAGGACACCTGGTGTTGAGAAATACCAGGCTCAGCCCAGGGTGTGGCCGGGGGGCCTCTGGAGAGGGGCTACAGGGGCTGCGGGGCCACCTGAGGTCGCGGATGTACCCCCGCCCTCATGGGCAGCTGGCGATGGCACCGCCTCTGGGGCAGTCGGGGGCCCTCTCACCACTTTCTGTTGCATTTTTACTGCCTTCCGTGACGCCTTTACAGGCCAGGGGCTCGGGCTCAGGAGGGGGAGCTGAGCCGGGCGAGGAGGGGTGCGTGGTTGTGTTGGGAACCTGGCCCCTTGGCCTTGCCCTTCCCCGGGTAACCGAGGTGTGTGCAGTCACACAGGCCTCAGGGGACCCAGGTCCCTGGTGCGTGGGTTCGGCCGCATGGCCCTGAAGCCAGTCTGCTGCCTCCTGCAGCACTGACTTCGGGGCAGGGAGCTCTCCTGGCCACCGCGTGCCTCCTGCTGCCCTCTCTCCTCCCTTGGCCTGTCTGCACGGGGACAGCGGTTCCCTGATGTCCCCAGGCCCAGGCAGGAGCACGGGATTCCATGGGCTCTCAGGGGGATGGGCTGGCCATGTGGGGGGCGCAGGCCCTCTTTGTCTCTGAGCCCCTCTGCGGCCGTAACTCCTGGCTGGTGACAGCGCTCCCACCACTGCTGTCTCATCTGCTCGCCCAGCTGGGACACAGGGCCCTAAACTGAAGGGTGCCTCACTGCTGACCTATGCTGAGGCCACCCGCCCCCGAGGCCCATCCCCCAGCACCCCGCAGCTCCACTTGTCCAGCTCCCCGGGTGAGGGCGGCCTGTGTCCAGAACGTCCCTCTGCTTATCGTCACACAAGTGTTTCTCCGGTGGGAATAGCAGGAGGCCCGCAGGCTCATGCCTCCCGCAGGGCTGGGTGGGGGTGGAGAAGCCCTGAGCTGGGGTCCTGGAGCCCCCGCCTCCTCCGGGCTCTGCACCCACCTCTGGGCAGCCTCGGGCAAAGCTCTTTCTCTCTCTTGGCCTCGGTTCCCCTGGGCTGGACCAGGGGGTCCATAGACCCCACGACAGCCTCTGCCCGCTCAAGGCTGCCGAGTGCGAGGGGCTGAGAGCTCCCGGCTCCTGAGGGTCAAAGCCAGGCCCGCTGCCTAGCCCGCTGTCCCCTGCCCAAGAGTGGGACACGAGGGTGGGGAGGCCTCTGGTAGCCAGGCGCCCACAGACTCCTGGGCAGCCTGCCCCTCAGGGCAGCTCTCTGCGTGGTGGGCCCTGACCTCAAGTGATGTCCCCTTTCTACTTTCCATGGGGCCTGGGAGCCACCCTGGGGAGAGGGCTGCACTCACGTTAAGCCTCAGACTTCGGGGTGAATGAAATGGAGGCTTTCTTTCCCCAAGAGGAGGGATCCAGGTAACTCACTCATTCATTGACTCTCTGGGTTGTGACCGTGGGAAGTGCCTAGTCAGAGGTATGTGAGGCCAAGTGGTCAGAGAATGCCGCCCTGACGGCTGCTGGCGTCCAGGACAGCAGCCTGCCGTTCCACAGCTCTGCCACGTCTGCTGTGCTTCCGAGCCTTTGGGCATGCTGTTCCCTCTGCCCGGAATGCCCTTCCTCCACCTCCCCTCTCCCCACACCCGTGCAGCCTGCGAGGCCCAGGCGGCCTCTGTCCTGTCCCTGCAGGGTCCTTTTCCCCTGAAGCCCACGCCCACCATGGAGATGGGCTCAGGCTGGAGGAGGGCCAGGGACCGTGTGAGGGCTTGGGGCTCCGGAGATGCCAGTGGGAGGCCGGGCCAAGTGGCTCAGAGAGGGCTGGTGGAACTGGCTGGGGGGTTGCTGGCAGAGGGCGTGAAGGATCGCCCTCAGTCCCTCTGTCCCTGTGTCCACACAGTCAACCGGGAGCTGGTGCGCAGGGCCGGCGGGAAGGGCCGGCTGATGGTCCACAGCAGCGTGGAGCACGACGTGGGCTTGCTGCGCCTGTACCCTGGGATCCCCGCCCCTCTGGTAGGCCCTCGGCCCCTCCCTTCCTGCCCCTTCATGTCCCCTCCCCGCCCACGAGGCTGAGCCCTACACCCCCTCCCCGGCCTCAGCCAAGGCTTCGGGGCCATCTCACTCATTTGTGACACGGGCTTGTCCCGGTGACGTCCGTGGGCTCAGGACGCCTGGTCTGGCAGTTCCTCTGAGGCCGATGGAGTGAGGCCCCAGTCCCTGCTGCTTCTCGGGGCTGCTCTGGTGGTCCCTCTCAGCCCTTCAGCCACCAGCTGTCCCTGGGGCAGACATAGCACCTGCTTCCGTCCTGCCTTGTGAGTTGGGCTCAGACACTATGCTGCCTGCTGGATAGCGGCTCCCAGGTGAGCGCGGCGCCGGAGCTGAGAGCAGGCTGTGGGCGCTGGGCTCAGAGGCAGTGCCGGGCTGCAGGGAGATGGGGCGGCGGGCACCACAGCTCAGCACGCTGGCCTCAGGGTGTGACCAGCGGGCCCTGCAGCTCCCTCTTCTAGTTGGACAGACGTGGCTTCCCAGGCGCGTCCCCACAGACAGGGTGGCCTGGCCCCACCAGAACCTGGCACCAAGCTGCCCTTAACCCCTGGGCCGTAGTCTATGAACTGGTGCCAGCTCCCCTCCCCAGGCGCTGGGAACAGACGGGGTGGGCTGTCCTCCACACGTCCCTTGGGGCCTCACAGGACAGGCCTTCTGCAGTGTTTGGGGGAGTGAGAGAGGTGACCACGTGCTGTGGGAGGCCAGGTAGGAAGGGCTGGGGCTGTATTGTTCTGGCAAACACAGCCTTAACAGGGCCCGGGACCAGCCCAGAGATGGTCCTGGACACTGTTCTGGGAGCCATGGTGGGGGCCACATGCTCCTGGGACCCCAGCCCCCCACAGACAGGCAGAGGCACGACTGGGCACATGGCCTTCCTGCCGTGGCTGGGGGCCTGTGATGGCCAGAGACCCGCAGAGTGGGAGGCGGGCTGTGGAGGGTGCCGAGGCTGGGTTGCCTGGTCCCCCTGGGTCACAGCAGCCTTGTGAGGACAGCTCCCGGCTGGAGCTGCAATGGGACAGGAAGGGGTGTGTTGGAGGTGTGCCCTGGTGAGGACTGGCCTTGCAGAGGAGAGCTGTCCCAGGAGCTGCTAGACAGGGAGCCCACATGCAGGGTCTCATGAGGTGTAGCAGCCAGAGGCCACTGCATGAGGCCGCCATGTTAAGCGGGGCTGAGATGTACAGGATCTGTCTGGAAAAATCATGCTGGTCTGTGAAGTCTTTCTAGAACATCCTGGAGCTGTCCGGCCCCTGGGGGGTTCACTTAATGGGGGCTAGCAGGCTAGCAGTTGCTGGTCTCCGAGGCTCCTGGGCCATTGGGACAGGGCCTGCTGGTGGCGAGTTGGCCAGCCGTGGTCCTTGTGTCCAGCCTCCCTGTTCCCTGGGGCCTGCCAGGAACAGGTGTGCTTTCACTTTGGCTTCTACCTGGAGAAACAGAGGGAGCTGATGGCAGTTCTGATGAGGGATGAGGGCTCCGAGGGGGACAGCCAGACAGGCGGACGCTCCTGCCTGCACAGAAGCGTCATCCCCAGGCCAGCGGCTTAGCCTCTGGGCTCCCACCTGTGTAGCAGGTTCAGGGACAGACAGAGCGATTGGCCCTGGGGCCTCTGGGCTGTGCCCACTAGTGCCCACACAGGGCACGGCTGAGCTGGGGAACAGGTGTCCTCACAGGGGCATTTGAGGTGGACCCCAGGCCCCGGCCTCTCTCTTCTGAGTGCAGCCTTGGAACCTTGGGGATGCGCACAGAGCCCCGCATGCATGTTTGGCTGCAAGGCCCTTTCCCCGAAGCATCACCTGTTGTGCGTCAGTCGGGGCAGGGTGGAAGGGCCACGGGGCTGGGAGGAGTGGTGGAGCAGCCCGGCCCCTCTGATGGCCCTTTCTCATCTCCAGCGGCTCCCTGCGACCGCCCCTGATGCATTTGCGCAGTGTTTTCATTACTACCTGCCTGTCACGGCCTGAACGCTTCAAAGGGGATGGGGTGTCTCCTTGGGAGGATGTGGTGGGGAGCCTGGCGGGTGGCCCGCTGGTCTCTGTTGCTAGAGCAGGAAGCAGAGGCCTCACCGGCACCTCCCGGCCCCCACAGGTCAGGGCCTTCCTGCAGCCCCCTCTGAAGGGCGTGGTCTTGGAGACCTTCGGCTCAGGGAACGGGCCCACCAAGCCTGACCTGCTTCGGGAGCTGCGGGCGGCGGCTGAGAGAGGCCTGGTCATCGTCAACTGCACCCATTGCCTTCAGGGTGCCGTCACCTCAGACTACTGCGCTGGCGTGGTGGGGGCGGGGCCCCCAGACCTGGAGAGGGAGGGCAGGGGCGGCCTGGGCCGGGACCCCTCGCCCCACTTTCCACCTGTGCCTCCTTCCCCCAGGCCATGGCGGGGGCTGGCACCGTCTCAGGCTTCGACATGACCTCAGAGGCGGCCTTGGCCAAGCTGTCCTATGTGCTGGGCCTGCCGGGGCTGGGCCTGAGCCGCAGGAAGGAGGTGCGTGACCTGGCAGAGGGTGAGGCCATTCCTAGGGGTGTGAGCCTGGGTTTGAAGGAGGGCAGGGATGGTGGGCACCCCCTGCCCATTGCTGGCCCCATGCCCGGGCCTGGCTCGGGCTGCGACTCCCCAAGCTGCTCCCAGGTATCCCCTCCCCACATTTCCCAGGCTGGCCTCAGACTCAGCTGTCCCCGGACCCTTGGGCTGAGCAGAGGCCACTGGGGCCTTGGGACACCCTGAGCTGGAGGACTGGAGGGTAGGACTGGGCTGGTGTGGGAGCCGGGCTGGGATCACACTCAGGCCCAAGGGAGGGAGCTGGATGGAGAAGGTTCAGGCCCAGGGCAGCCCTCACCCTGTGCCTGGGCTGCTGGGCCTGGCCCTGGCAGAGCTGACCTGGTACCCTGTGTACTTGTCCCCAGCTGTTGGTCAGGGACCTTCGGGGGGAGATGACACCGCCTGCAGTGGACGAGCTCTGGTCCTCTGTGCAGGGCAATGCACTGAGCCGCGGGGTTGCCCAGCTCCTCAGTCTGAGCCAGGTACTTACGGTCCAGTGAGGGGTACTGGTGTGGCAGGAGGCCTGGGCGGTGGACCCCTGAGGGACAGGCTAGGTGCTAGCCCCTGCCATGGACATTCTGGTGCAGGAGCAGAAACGCACCAGGCATGGCCTGGCCCTGGGCCCCGGTGGAGGGCTCAAGGCCACAGCAGGGAGGATTTGCAAGGATTGGTGGCCCGGCATGTGGAAAGGGGTGGGGGGTGGGTTTAGAGGAGCCCTTGTGGTGGGTTCACGGTGGACAGAATGTGGCCTGGTCACCCAGTGGTGCAGGGCTGCCTCGTGACAGGGGAGCTCTCAGGCGGCGTGGGTGCCCCGCCCATCCTGGGTGCTAGAGGAAGAGGGGTGTCTGCTTTGGGGTCTCCTAGTCTCTGAACGGCGAGGAGCCCTCCTTCACCTCCTCGACCAAGGTGCCTCGGCCCAGGAAGGGGTCTAGGATTCAAGCTGGGCCAGGCCCACAAGGGGGATCAGGCCTCCCAGTGCCCTCCTCCCCCCACTGCACCAGGCATTTGGGCAAAGCATCCGGACCTAGTGCAGGAGCTGTTGGTCCCCTGCTGCCCTGGGTCACGCTGCCTGCCTGTTTCCCCTGAAGAGTGAGGGTAGGGGCGAGCCTGTCCTGGGGAGCTGTGGTAGGTTAACCTGCTTGCCAGGGGTGGGCAGTGGTCAGGCGCGTGTGGCCTGTCATAAGGGGGAAGCATTGGGCCGTTGGGACTTGAGTGATGCAGGCCAGCCAGCAGCAGTCTTGTGCTCGGGGCTGGCCGCAGTGCCTGGTGGCAGGCTGCCGGCAGGGGTCTCTGATGGGACCCCCAGCCTTCTGGCCTCTTGGGGAGCTCTTAGACAACCCGTGGAATTCCCGGTGCTGGGGCAGGAGGCCCTGCGGGGACTTGTGCAGATGTGGGGAGCAGGCCCTTCCTTCCAGAAAGGGGCCAGGCACCCCTTCCTGACCCCTCCCCACCGCCCCAGGTGGGCGCCTTGTTAGATCTCTCCCCACATCCTCGATGGTGGTGGAGACGCATCGCAGAGGGTGGGTGGCAGGTCACACTGCTGGTGAGGCTGGAGCCTGATCGTGGCTTCATCTGCCTGGAATTTGCTCTGAGGGGTGGGGGTCCTGGGTGGGCCTCAGCGTGGCACTCAGGCTCTTTCTTTTCCCATGCGATCACTTAAGGAGGTGGCTGGACCCCATCCTGGGACCAACTGCCAGTGCGGTGTGGGGGCCAGCAGCATTCCTGTGGTTCCTGGGCCCCACCTGCTTGGCCCACCCTTCCCCCTGCTGCTCCTCGCCCTTCTGACCTGTGAGGGTGCTGAGGACACCAGGAAAAGGCACGGGTCCCAAGGTGTTGCTGCCCCACCCAGGAGGCCGATGCTGTGCGGGACACGCTGGCGCCCAGCCTGGCCTGTGCTGCGGCCCATGCCGGGGACCTGGAGGCCCTGCAGGTGCTTGCGGAGCTGGTGAGCCCCTGCCTACCCTTGGGGATCTGCCCGTGGGTGGGGGCGCTGGCCAGCTCTGGGCAGCACGGCCCTTCCTGGGCCCACTCACCCTGTGCACCCCAGTCCCCCGGGATTTGTGGCCAGCCGCTCAGGCCTCCCTGCAGCCAAGGGAGCACACGGCTGTGCCGGGGCCCCCGCAGGGTGCACCCCGACCCCCCGTCCCTTCCCTGGCCCCGCCTGGCCCTCCCTCAGAGAGTGACGGGCCCCTGCCTCACCCCAGGGAGGTGACCTGAGCCTGGAGGACTTCAGTGGTCGAACTCCGCTGCACGCGGCCGCCCGGAGGGGCCAGACTGGGGTGGTGACCACGCTGCTGCAGAGCGGGGTGGACGTGAACGCACGAGACCAGGACGGCCTTAGCCCGTTGCTGCTGGCCGTGAGGGGCAGGTACTCAGGGGCCGGGCACTGCAGGGCATGTGTGGGCAGGGGAGCTGCGTGGGGCAGGGCCTGGACAGAGCTGCCTCAGAGAGGGCTCTCAGTTTGCCTGTGGCCACACAGCTTCCTCAGACAGAGCTGGGCGGGACCAGGGATGCCTGCCGCCTTGCCTAACCCACCCTCAGCCTGGGCCCTGGGTACTAGCAGTGACCATGCTGAGTGTGAACAGAGCCCACCGTGGGAGGATCGACTCTGGTGGCATAGTCAGGGAGGGCTTCCTGGAGGTGACCTCCTAGCTGAGCCAGGCAGGGACAGCAAGACCTTGGCCTGGAATTTCTAGAAAAGACAAACAGACAAAGCACAAGGGTCTCATGTGTTTCCCACGTCATCCACCTGAGGGACTTGGAGTGGGGCCAAGGGAGAAGCCCCCGGCCCAGCCCTGGAATGGAGCAGGTGCAAAGCAGGTTACATAGTGCCGGACGTCAGCAGGGCTGATCTCTGTTTAGCGCTTGCAGTAGGCCCCAGGGTCCCTCCCCAGGGGGCTCTTGGCCCGCAGGACCCTGGGTTATTTTGAGGGGTTTTGTGAGTCTTATGCAGAGAGGGAGAGAGGCTGTGAGTGTCTAAGCCCTGGTCACCAGACTGTTCGGGTCAAGTCCTGGGCACCTTCCCCATCTCAGAGCCCTGGGGTGGCATAGCACCCTCCTCCCCAGGCTCCCATGAGCATCAAAGGCTTCTCAGGACAGGCCTGGCTGCAGATAGAGGGTGAGGGTGCTGGTGAGACATGCACCCAGGCCACCGCCATCTGGCTGGAGCATCCAGGCCACGTGTCCTTGGGCGTGGGTGGGTGCCTTGGTGAGCTCACCCTGTCCTGGTCCCACCCCCCTCACCCCCAGCTGGTTATCCCAGCACCTCCCCCACCTCCCAAACCGGTCTCCCGGCTCACCCCTCACGGGGCCCTACTGTGCCCTGGAGTGGCACAGAGGTGCTGCCCCACCCTGGAGGCCTCTTGGGGGCTGGGGGTAGGGGCAAGGCCTGGGGGGCCCCACCCTCCCCAGGCTCCCTACAAGTGGGGTGACCATGCAGTTTATGGTATACCCCCAACACCGGGGAAGGCAGGTGCAGTTGTGCTGCAGGTCAGTGTCTGCCCACCAAGACAGCCTGCGCGGCCTCAGGCCTCTGCTCCCTCTGTGCCTCGGCCTTGCCCGAACCCCCTCCCCACTCTGTGAGCCCCTACGGACAGACGCTTACCCCAATGGGGGCTCCAGGCTTGGCTCAGGCCAGGTGCCTCTGGGCACCCTCGGATATCAGGCCCTGCTCTGGGCCAGCCGAACCCCCACGTTTGTCCATCGGGGTCTCATCCCTACCCCTCCACCCCAAGGGCAGAGCATGGGCCTGGTGGCCTCAGTTTCCCCCAATCCAGCCCTGGATGGCAGCCACCCGCTGTGTGTGAGCTGTGGGGCTGGCCAGCTCAGTGTGGAAGCTTCTCCACAGTGGGCTGTCCCCAGGGACCCACAGCTGTGCCTTGGGTCCCTGGGCAGAGGGCTGACTCACTGCCTCTCCATGGGGCCAAGTGAGGGGGACTGAGGGGCTGGGGGTGGCCTGGTCTGGCCCTGTGCGCAGGACACCTTTGCTGGTCCTTCGCTGGCGTCGAGCAAGGGCTGCCTGGGGCAGATGGTCACCACGGGCCTCTCGTGTCAGGCATCAGGATGTCATTGGGCTGCTGCGGGCAGCTGGGGCCTGCCTGTCAACCCAGGACCGGGAGGACTTGGGGACGGAGTTGTGCAGGTGAGGGCCGCAGGCACTCTTGTGCTCCCCGGGGGCGTGAGGCCAAGGCTTGCAGGGAGGGGCAGTCGGCTGGGTGGGGGCTTCAGAGGAGGGAGAGGCCACCCTGTACCCTCGAAGGGTGGAGGTTGTTCTGGGCAGAGAGGACAGTCCAGCAAAGGAGGCAGGGAGGGGCCTGGGGGGGCGCCATGCAGGGGTGGGCGGGAGAGGGGCCTGGGCTGCAGGGAGGCCTGGGGAAGGCCTGGGCTGCATCTGGGAGGTGGTGGGGGGGGAGGGCTTGTCAGGTGTCAGCAGTTCCCATGCTCCCCAGCGGGGTGAGCTCCAGTGTGGTCCCCTGGTGCCGGGCCTGGTCCCCGTCCTGGGGAAAACTGACCACAGGCCAGCGGCTGCCCTGCCCTGGTGCGTGGCAGCAGCCAACAGCCTGGCCCCAGGGCAGGCCTGGGAAGACTTGAAGCCCAGGGCGGTGCCGCACCCAAAGGTCCCCGGGGAGGTGGTGGTGGTGGGCTGGGCAGAAGGCAGGCCCCGGGCTGCCCAGCTCAGCTCCTTCCTCGGTCCCCGGGACCCCTCCCCATGGTGCTGCTAAAACTGTCACTGCCTCCCCTGGGCCCGCTAGCTCCTCTTGTGTCCCCCTGGGGTCTGAGGGCTGGGAAGGAGGGGGAGGGACCGGGGCGGCTGTGGAGAAAGGGAGGCAGTGGTAGGGGAGGCCTGTCCCAGAGGCCAGGCTGGGGCACCAGTGGTAGCCAGGCTGGGGGCGGAGGCCTGGAAGTGGCCTGGGCCTGGGTCCCTGAAAGTCTGAGCCCCCAGGTGTGGGGAGTGGGTGACAAGGGTGACGTCTCAGGCTGACTGGCTGGTGTGAGGAGCAGGTGAGCTGCCTGCTCACCAGGGAGAGGGCCTGAAGTTCTGGCCCCGTGTCCCGCCCACAGCGTCTCCCCTACCCCCATGCCTTGGTGTCAGCGGGGCCTCACCTGGTGCCAGGGACCTCCATCCTAGGTATGGAAGGGGTGGGGACACCTCACGGGTCCCAGCCTTAGCTGCCTCTCCCTGGAGTTCAGTGTCCCCTGGGATGAATCCTGCTAGCTGACCGGCCCCGGCTCCCCAGCAAGGACAGGGCTAAGGGGGCTCTCTGATGTGTGTGGGGAGGTGGGGCCCAGGCAGGGAGGGGCCTGCCCACAGCTACTGGTCTTGGCACTGAAGGGGCTTCTGGGGTGACTTGGTTCAGGGCTGTACCCTGGTGAGCTTTGATGTCCCCACCCACAGATAGGGAAACTGGGGCAGAGTGGGGAGGTGACAGGCAGGTCCCACGGGAGTGGCTCGTCCAACCCCACTGCTTGGCTGGATTTGGGAGGCCCTTAGCCTGCCCTTCCGAGCGGCCCAGGGAGCAGGTCTGGGAGGGGCCTGTGGCACCAGGCCCCCTAAGCAACACCCTAGAAATGACCCAGCAGCACTGTCACTAAGGCCCCCTTAGGGGGCTGGGGGGTGGCCCTTCCCTCCCCCCCAGCCCTGGCCAGTGCACCTGGCATGGACCCCTCCTTGCCCCTTCCCAGGGTGAGGAGTGGGCTCCTCTGAGAGCAGCAGGAGGTGTGGAGGGCCCGATGAGGGCCTGGGAGGACCTCTCTGCCCCCCTCACCTCTCTGGGGCAGGCTGGCCCAGGCCCCCTCCCAGCCCGGACCCCCCAGGCGGCCTGCTGGACCCAGGGCCACACAACCCCCCACCCCGCCCTCCTGTGTGTTCCTCTTTGAACAATGGGGCCACCTCAGACTTTCCTCCTGCCTCCGTGGACCCCACCCAGGGAGACCTGTGTTGTGAAATGTGAAACTGGCGTGCGGCTCGCAGCGGGGGTGTGTGTGCACTTGCGTGTGTGTGCGGTACACCCGTGTGTGTGTGTGTGCTTTCTCGTGCGTGTGCTTTCCTGTGTGCGCCCTTGACCTGAGTCACAGTCACCCCCGCATGGTGAAACCAGGCGCCAGGCCTCCTGCTGGCTTCCAGCGCCTCCTGCATGCCTTCCCCGGTCTCACCGCTGCTGGGTCAGCTGTTTGGGGCTGGTGTTGTAAAGGTGCCCCTGGGCAGATGACGGGCTCCCAGCAGTCCCTGACTGCTCCCCCTCCTCCGCCCCCCTCCCAGGCTGGCATCCAGGGCCGACCTAGAAGGCCTGCGGGCATGGTGGCAGGCGGGGGCCGACCTGAGGCAGCCGGGGTATGATGGGCGCAGCGCCCAGCTCACCGTGAGTGCCCCCAGTGCCCCTGCTGCCCTCTCCAAGGCCTCGTCCTCCCGGAAGCCCTCCCTGACAGCTCCACTGGCTCCCCCTTCCCAAATGCCCGACTCCTGCTCTCCTGGTGTGCTGGAACCACGAGGATAGGGGGTGGGTGCTGTCCCTTTTCCTGTCCCAGGTCCCTCCCAGGGACCAGAGCTTTGGGGACAAGGGGAATGGAGGAGATGTGGGGTCCTTCATGCATGGGCGAGAGGGCATCCTGGTGGCTGGGGATTAGGGGCCAGACTGCTGGTCAGAGTCCCTTAGGCAGCCCCTCCCACGTCCCACCCGCCCCAGGCAGAGGCAGTTGGGAACCTGGACGTGGTGACCTTTCTGCAGAGCCTCCGGCATGGGGCTGGTGTCGAGGCCCTGGGCCCGGTAAGTCTCCCCACGCTCCATGGCTGGACCCTGGCTTGGGGAATGTGTCCAAGGGCAGGTCCTGGGGACAGAGCCGGAGGAGGCTGAGAAGGTCAAACCAGTCAGGTCTGCCCCTCCTGTGGGCGGGGCGTACACTGTCCAGAGCTGCAAAGTGCCCAGAGGGAAGGCTCCCCGGAGGAAGGGCCAACTTCAGACCCGCTGTGTTCTGTCATGTCAGGCTGCTTCATAGCGCACCCAACACAGCACCAGAGGCCCCAGCCATGGCCAAGAAGCTCATGAAGCCTTCAGGGGACCTGCCCACCCTGCACCTCCTCCTCACTGGGACCAGCACCCACTGGGCTGGGTGCTCCCTCCTGCCTCCCAGGCTGGGTAGGCCAGGTCCTGAGCTAACTCCCCATCCCTGCCCCATCAGCTGGCTCTCTGGAACTCTCCAGGCTGGTTGGGTTTGCTCAGGTCCTTTGGTCCCTCTTCTGTGAAAGGCTGGGCCCCACTGACACGTGCCCGGGCTTGTCTGCCCTGCCCCCTTTCAGTACCTGGGCCTCCACTTGTTTTCTGGAGACCTCCCATTTCCAGGAAGTTCTGCCTGGTGTCTAACCTGAAGCTGTCCTGCTGCAGTGCAAGCCATTCCTTCCTGTTGTGACCTGCTGGAGGGATCGCAGTCACCCCTGGGGCTCTGACTGATGTGTCCACCCCTCCGCCCCCTTCCTCTGTGGAACTGCTTCCCATTCTGTTTCTAAGTTGCAGCCTAAAGGTCTCTGTTGGGTAGACTGGCAATAAAGTCTCTCTGGGGACCATTTGCTCTCCAGATCCCCAAAGCCCGGCTCCAGTGGGTCTGTCTGTGTCCCAGGACTGTGGGGGTGTGTGTGGGGTGTCCGGCCCCAGGCTCTGGGTCAGAGGGCGGTGTCTCCAGCACTCTGGGGGCAAGGGATGCTCTGCTAATCCTTGCGCAGCATGAGTGAGTGTGGATGTGAGCCTGGCTGAGTGGGGGTGGGCGGACTTTCCCTCCTCCAGACAGCCTCTGCCCCATCCCCTTTCATCCCAGTCATTCTTGGGGCTTGGAGTCACCTCCTCCAGGCAGTGCCCCCCCCATATCTCCTCCTGCTTAACTCCTGGCAGAGACCATCTCTCTTGTCCTGGTCCCTACTGGCTGCTTTTCACAGGGTCTCTGGTGTGCTGGCCCCTTGGCATGGTTCACTCCAGCCCCTGAACTGCCTGTAGCCCCTGACCCACTACCTTTTATGAGCTGGGCCCGCCTTGGGGAGGCAGAGAAGGGGCGGCCCGCACTGGCCTTGGTTGCAGCAGCCCGGGTGGACAGCAGGTGGAAGCAGCCCAGCTGTGGGCAGTTGTGGGATGGGCGGGGCAGGCCCAGGCCTGGTGGGCGTGGCGCTCTGAGGTTGCTGCTGTTCCTGCTCAGAGACCCAGTTGGGGCTGAGGCGTTTGGACCCCAGGCCTGTTCTCTAGGCGAACCATAAGCAGTCCGGTGGGGCCAGGGCCTGGGCTCCCCACTTCCCCCGCACACAGTGTCCGACCCTCAGGCTGGGCGTGAGGAGCTGTGCAGACCGCCCCGCTCTGGGTACCGCCTGCACTTCGGTGACTAACTGCCCACAGGAGGGCTGCCTTCTATCTGGCCATCTGGCCCCTGGACTGAGGTCTCAGGAAGACGCTGGGCCCAGCCTGAGGGCATGCTCCCCGTAGATACTGGGCCAAAGTGTGACCCCAAAGAGCTCTCCCTTGGCACCTCCCACGCAGCCTCTCCCAGAGGGGCTTGGCCTGGGGCGGCTCCACCCGCACCCCCGGGCTTCTCAGCCCAGTTCCCAGGCCCGGGCTGGCACCGTGACTGGCAGCCTTCCAGATCTCGCCCAGACACGGGTGTGCCTGGCCTTGCACAACCAGGTAACACCACATAAGCGCAGTGGATGATGGGGAGCCTTTGCCCCACCCCCTGATGAAGGCCCGAGGGATGGGGGCGTGGGGGGGACATGGGGGGAGGGAGGGGCCCTGGGGGTCCAGAGCCAGGAGCCCTTGCTATTGCTGGTGGACTGGGATCTTCAGAAGGCCAGAGGGCGGTGGGACATCCCCTCTGGTGCCTGGCACGCAGCAGCTCACCAGAAACACCCACCCCCAGGGACGGACGGGGGACAAGGCAGAGCCCACTGCTCCCAGCCCTTCCCCAGGCCTCCTCAGAGCCTGGGGTTGTGACAGCTGCCAGTGCCTCCTGTTACCCCACAGGGCACCTCCCTCACAGAGCAGGTGCCGACCCGCCAGTGCAGAGGTGCCCCCGTGTCCTGGGTGCCCACGGAGAGAGCACTTGCTGAGCTGGCTTTTCCCCAGGAGGGTCACTGACGGCCGGGAGAAGCTTCTGCCAGCCCAGCAGTTGCAGGGAACTCCCCATCAGGGATGGGCGGCCAGGCCCCTGTTCTCGGCCCCTCCACATGCTCGTGGGACGCAGAGCCCCACAGTGAGCAGCTCTTGGACTGGACAAGTGTCTCAGAAAGTTCTGGAAAGTCTCATGCACATGTCTGGAAAGTTCCCCAGGGCCATTCTCTGTGGAGCTCCTCAGAGGGTCTCCGAACAGCAGCAGGGGGACTAAGGGTCTGTCCTCTGTGGTCCCAGCACCGTGTGAGGGGGCAGCTGCACGGGGGACAGTATTGGAGGCTCACGCCGCCGGCCAGCCTCTTCCGTCCATCCCATCCTGCCCAGAGAGGGCTCTGAGAAACTCAGGCCCAGTCCTGTGCGCAGGGTCCACACTGGCACCTGCCCCAGCCGCATCACCTCTGCAGGTAGCCACCCGGGGACATGGCAAGGGGCTGGCATGAGATGTGGAGCAAGGCTTGGCATGGGAAGGGCTGGGGCAACGTGGGAGGCCCCCTGAGCCCCGCAGGGTCTCGCAGGGACCAGACTCCCTGGATGGATGAGAGCCGCATTGCTTACACCCAGTGGTTTCACTTGGGCGAGGCGCTGGCTCCCAGCAGCCCGTCTCAGGTCCCTGGGAGCCCGGCATCACCTCTGGGAAACTTCTCTCTCTCACTCAGGCCACTGTCCACGTGTACTCCACCATAAAATCAGACTTCTCGGTCGGGGCCAGTCTCACCCCAGCTATAGGTCACCTGGGGAAGTTCCCTTTCTGGTCACATCTCAGTACCTCCTGCTGCAAGTGGGAACCACTGACGTTTGCTCTGTTCCCTCTTCCTCCCGGCTCTTACCTGTCCCCTCTAGTGCTGGAGACAGTGACGGTGTGCAGGGAGGGTCTGCCCTGGGCTGGGCTGTACCAGGGCTTAAGGCTGGGGACAGGAGAGGTGGGTGCTTTCCACCCACGCAGTGGTGGCGGTGGTGGCAGTTGGGGGAGGAATTCCCAAGCTCTCTTCCCGGTAACACACCTCTGTGTCCCCTCCCACTGCTCCCTCCCTCTCCTAGTGCCTGACCCCCTCACTGACACTCAGGCAGCCGACTCAGCAGAGGTGCCGGCTGCGGAGTCCCAGTTCCACCACAGAGAGCTGTTGAACCTTTGAGAAGTCACTGCCTCTCTCTGAGCCTCAGTTTCCCTGAGTGCAAAATGGAAACAATAAAACCGTTGCTACTCACTTTCCAGGCTGGTGGTGATAGGTAAACTGCCCCTAACATAGGTGGAAACCTCTCGAGGGCCCATCACAACTTGATGGCTGCATCCCTGGCCTGGGACTAACCCGGGGCTCCTGAGCCCAAAGGACACTGGTCTCAGGCTGGTCGTGCGGGCATGTAACTGCCCGGGGCTCAGCTGAATGATGGTGACCACTGCCGGCCGCCCATCGTCATGCAGCAGCACTGGTGGCTCAAGATGTGTGCTGAGGATTTTAGGGCCCACCTCCCTCCAAATTTTCTCCTTCCTAAAGCTGCGCCCCCCCCATTAGCCCCCCACAGGCAGCTCTGCGGTAAGGCAGAGTGCCCTGAGGCTGGCTGGTCGGGCCCCAACATCTCCAGGTGACTGAAGTGGGCAGGCCAGAGCCGTGTGCTGTGTGTGTGTGCATATGTGTGTGTGTGTTGGTGGGGAGTGTTGGGGGCTCTTGCCCCCGTGTGGCGCAGAGCAGAGCTGTGCCCCCGCCCCGTACGAGGAGTAAGGGGTAGGATGGGACTCCCCGTGTGGGCTCTGACAGGGGTCCCAGCCGCCCTCCTTACCCTCTGGGAAAAGGCAGGGTCTGAGGACCAGAAACCTGCCCGGCCCGTTCTCGCCCTCCCTCTAGTTTCACTTTCTCTTTGTCCCCCTCCTTCCCCCTCCCATGAAGTTCCTTTGAAGTGAGAGGGAGAGGGATGGGCGTGTCCAGCCGGCCCGCACCCTCACCGCTGACCCAACCCGGGCCCCGGCTCCCGCCGGCTCCGG